AGAGAATTTTGGATCCCCACTTTTAAATCAGAGACTTTGCAATTTTTAAACAGAAAACCAAGGTATCTGCTGGTGAGGCAAATGGCGGGACCCAGACAGAAGAGCCTGCCCAGGGCTGGCACCAGGGACCCAGATGGACGGTGGATGAGGTGGCTGACCTCCTGGCCATTTGGGGCCAAAAGGGCATACTTCGAAGTTCAAAGCAGGTCACCACAAAGAGCACATCTTCTGGGAGATAGCTGCCCAGATGGCAGAATGTGGGCACCAGAAGACATGACAACGGCCAACTGTGCAGCCACAGCCCGCTGGCAGCTGGCCCACATGTGCAGGGGGCTCTGTTGCAGTGACCATAGTGTCATAGTTGTTAGAGGCTGGAGGGGACCTTACAGATCTTGGAGCCCAGCCCTCTTGCATGTGAGCAGAAAAGACTGCTGGGATCAAATGCAGGGCCTCAAGACATTTTTTGAAGATCACCAGGGTGGATGACTGTACCACTTCTGGGGGGAAGCCTGTTCCAAACTCTCAGCACTGACCTTGTAAGTTTTTCCTTATGTCTAGCCTGGAGCAATCTTCAATCAGCTTGTGCCCATTATTTCTTGTCCTCACCTGGGGGGCCTAGGTGAAGGTGGTTCCTGTCTGGGTCTGGTAGGCATGCAGCCATGGGGCTGCAGGTCCGAGGAGGCAGATGCTGTTGCAAGTGGCAGCTGGTAGCAGCCAGGCAGCAGCCCCCACTGCCAGACTGCTGCAGTAGTCAGAGGGTGCAGGGGCCACTCTAGGTCAGGGTGGCTGCAGCAGTCCAGCTGGCACCAGGGGGCTAGTGTTCCCAGATACAAACTGGCCAGGCCTCAGAAGCTCCTTAGGGCAAGTAGCCCTGAGCTGCTTTCCAGGGCAGCTTTTTATACTGCTGGGGACAGCACAGATGCTGATCTCAGCCTCTAGCACCCCCTGGTAGAAGATCCAGGAGGAGGTGGGGGGAGGGGGCAGTTTCCCCCAGGTGGCACAATTTGCTTCACACCAAAGTGCATGTTCAGGCATATGTGCTGAGACGCAAATCTTTGGCACAAATTTGTGCTGCTGCTGCTACTTGAGCTGCTGCAAGCACATGTATGTGCATGTGTGGATGTGCCATAACTATTTGTCATTTTTTGGGTTCCCAACTTACAGGTATACTTGATATGCTTGGGAGCTGTGCTTTAAATGTATGAAGTGCTGTAAAATGCTAAGCATGCTGGAAAATCCAGGGAATCAATGACCTGGAAGATAGCATAGAGTGCTCCATCAGCAAGTTGGCAGGTGACACCAAGCTGGGGGGAGTAGCAGATATGCTGGAGGGTAGGTCTAGGAATCAGAGTGACCTTGATGAATTGGAGGATTGGGCCAACAGAAATCTCATGAGGTTCAACAAGGACAAGTGCAAAGTCCTGCACTTAGGACAGAACAATCTGAAGAAAAGGACCTAGGGGTTACAGTGGACAATAAGCTGAACATGAGGCAGCAGCGTGCCCTTGTTGCAAAGAAAGCTAACAGCACACTGGGGTGCATTGGTAGGTGTGTTGCCAGCAGGTCAAGGGAAGTGATTATTCCCCTCTATTTTGCACTGGTGAGATCACATCTGAGTACTGTGTTCAGTTCTGGGCCCCAACTGTAGAAAGGATGTGGCCAAATTGGAGAGAATACAGTGGAGGGCAACAAAAATGGTTCAGGGGCTGGGGGGGCATGACTTATGTGGAAAGACTGAGGGAACTGGGTTTATTTAGTCTAGAGAAGAGAAGACGGAGAGTGGATTTAATAGCAGCCTTTAGTTACCTGAAGTGGGGGGTTTGTATGATTTCTAATTTTCTGTGATTCTATGATTAAGGATCTCAAGCTGGCAACCAAAAATTAGAAGACACTTTGGACAATTTGACCTTTTGTGCCCATGTTTGAGATCCTCATTCGTAAAATGGTGTAATAATACTGCCTTCTCACAGGAGCACTCTGAAGATAAATTAATACTTTTGAAGCACTCAGAAATTATTAGGAGAGTATGATAGAAGTGCCCCAGAGGAAATTAATAATTCTGTATTCACTATAGTGTTCTCTGGCATGCATTAAGTAAGTTCTGAGGCCATATGGAATGATAGGGATAAAAAGACATATTGAATAATTAAGTATCCATTTACTGACAGCAGCAGAGAGAGAGAGAGAGAGAGATTAGGGGAAAAAAAGCAAAGTGATCGTATAATTAAGGATGGCTTATAAACAAGGCAAGAGAGTTAGTGGCATGGATACTTTTAATTCTGGAATTTACTAACTTTTGAGTTAGACTTAGCTACCATAATGTTACTTTAATGTAATTCATGAATATTTATAATACATTTATATACTATACACACACACACGCATATATATGAAACAAGTGCACAGTGTGTGTGTGTGTGTGTGTGTGTGTGTGTGTGTGTGTGTATATACATATATCTAGCATATACATATGTACAGGAAAACCCACGTACACAGAAGGGTGAGGTTCATAACCCCTTTGCAAGGAGGAGGTTTTGCTGGGGCCCAGAGTCCTGGGACATAGTCACAGCAAACAGCTGCACAGGACCACCGAGAAGCTCTAGCTGATTCCTGCAGCTTTTGCTCACTTTGACCACTTCTGATTAGCTGCCACTGGCAACCAGTGCTGACCTCTAGCTGTGTGATGAAAGAGCACCCTTTGAAGTAAAAATTGGAACAGACAGCTGAGTAGCTTGTTCTTTATCTGGTCACTTAGTGTGAACAAAGTGGCTTGGGGATACAAATGATCTGGGTTCTAACCGTAATGTGTATGTGTAGTATAAACCTATGTACTATCTGTGGCACATACATCTGTGGACAAATATATAGGTAACATACATAACAGTAATCATCCAAAACATTGCAGTGTCACTATTATAAGATTCTCTTTTAGATCCTTCCTGTCCAACCAGAACCACTAAACTTTTGGGAATGTTTTCATCTGTTGCAGATCCCCCTATAGGAGAAAAGACTGAGTACTTTCCCTCACTGCAGCCTGCTTCCCACTCTCTTTTTCCGTCGACTTTTCTGCAGGGTCATTCTAATGTAGATCTTGAACTAAACTTAGCTCAACCCCCACCAGCTCCATCCATTTTTAGATAAAATATCCACAAATCACTATTTTTAAAATGTTTGGGATGTGAGAAAACCCAAATGTTGTTGCGATTCAAATGGTGGTCTGTCATCTTGGATTAGTTGTAATAGTATTTTGCTCTCAGTGAAGGGTTGGTAAAAGTTACCCAATTAAATGAATTGTTTTTTCTGTTTACAGATCAAGTATTCCATCATGCACCCAGGGACTCATGTCTGGCCTCACACGGGACCTACTAACTGTAGGTTGAGGATGCACTTGGGCTTGGTAATACCAAAAGAAGGCTGCAAAATTCGATGTGCTCAGGAAAACAGGTAAACTTTTCTATTCGCACCCCAAGACTGAAAATGGGTGGGCAACTGATCTGATCCACAAGAAAAAAGACAATTCTGATGTCAGTAAATTACTGCGAAGGGAGAATAAAATACTACATATTTAATCATAGCAAATATTAGATATTGTAATTGTAGCAATTATAATATGTCACCTAGGTATTTAGTTATAATAAGCACTTTGATGTGTAAAACTTCTTACAAGTATATGAATTTAAGTTTTTAATTCATGACACTACATTCTTTGGAGACAAGACGTGGTCTTCTCTGTCATGATCACTGTATTTATCTTCTTAGTAATGCTGTCTATAGCCTTAAAGTCTTTTGAGTTTAGTCTTAGAAACACATTCCATTGATGTTCACCACTTGCAACCAACAGTAATTCCACTGTTCCCTTTCTTCTCTTGGGAGACCAGCCAACTTAATCAGTAAACTCTAGACTCCTTGCAGCAATTCTGCTTCCTATACTGTGGATGTAGAATAGCCAAGTTTTCCCACATAGATTAGATCTTCCAGTGGTATACATCAGCATTATTCCATTGGCTTCATTTCAAGTGGCACTGAAGTCAAACGTGTTGCCTTGTAAGTGGCCAATGATACCAAGGATTCTTAATTTTTACATTGTGTTTGAATAAGGAAAACTTCTTTACATTAGGAATGGTTACATTACACTGCAGATGTATTTGGCCTCTTAGGTCAGTTTAAAAAATAGTAATTTAAAGACATTTAAACTCAAGGAATATATTCCCTTGAGAAATATGTGAAAATCTAAACTTCTGTAATTTAACACATGTAGATAGACTAGTATTAAAGCAACAGCAGTACTAATAAAAATTATATGTAATAAAATTACTAATAAAAATGAATGTATAAAGTTAAGCAATTTGATCAATTTGTTTGAAAATGTTTGCTGTTCATTGAATAGATTTTTCTCTTCTGAGTCCAAAACATCACCTGGAATCCTAATAGTTTTTAATGTTTATGATGAGTCAGAGATGCTATATCCTGCTTATAGCATCAGAGTGCAGCAAAAGTTAATTTGGAATTCTTCTCAACGTACTATTATGGAGACATGTTTGACGATGAAAAATCTATGCACCCATCATCACTGTAGTATGTAATTGAGAGCTTTCCAGAGCATCTGAAAACCAAACACAGCAGGTAGTTTGTGGCAATTTAAGTACAAGAGTTTCCATCCATTAATAATCTGGCTGTTGTTGCTGCAGAGGTGTTGGGACTCCTGCCATGATGTACCTTATTTAAATATTGTGCATCAGCAGTCAGCATTACAGCTAACAACATACACCTTGACTAATCATTGATGAACATATTTCTTCCCAGCACTCTAGCTCAGTATCTGAAGCAGTTTGGGGCAGCAGGAAGTGGTAGTTAGATGGTTTAGAGGGTTGTTAATGAGACATGGAGGCTTTCACATCTTGGAAGCTTAGGAGTCACTTGTGAATTTAGGTCAGCTATGATTGCAAATCATTACCATCAAGTGGCTATTAGATGACCCTGCAGGAAAGAAAGCCATAGTCTTGCTCAGGTTCCAAGTGAACAGGTGTGTGAGACTCACCATCCATTATCAGAGCTGACATCCTTATTTGTCTTCAGCTGAACATAAGGCTCAGTGGTGTGGAGAGTGAACTACCTTCTCACCTATAGCAATGCTTCTTCCACATCAGATGCTGGGCAGGGTGGCATAAGGATGCTTATATTGCTCCTGCTGGGCAGATAGAGCATTTCCATGCTGGGACTCTTGAGTTTGGCTTATTCCATATGCACAACGTTCATTTATTAAAAATGTAAAATTTATGCATAATAATCCAACTTAGTCCTCATTGGCATGCACAACTCCAGTTTATTTTGGCAAGAGTTGTGCATTTATAACCAAAGGCAGGACTTTTCCTAAGAAAATATTTTTAGTGGTAAAAATGAAGGGTTACGCATAACTATTCCCTCCTTCCCTGTGAAAGGGAGGCCTCTCGGTGGTTACCATGGTGACAATGCAGGCAAGGAATTCTGGGTCTCAGACGTGTATGAGTCTGCCCCTCTGCCTCTTCCCTTGCTGCTTCAGATGAATAAGAAATTATTGCTGCCTCCTGTTGAACTGGTTCAGCTCTGGAGGCTTCCATGTTGGAGATCAAAGCTTTGACTCCATCCCTCCCCAAGCCCTCCTCCTCCTGCTTGTGAGGTGTGTGGGGGAAAGTAATGAGAACATAGTACCCATTTACCCATGTGCACCCAGAGGTAGGGTGGGAATTTAAAGGGGCCGGTTTTATTATCCACTATACTATTTGCAGTGCAGCGCAGCTGGCCATCTAGCTCTATAGAAAGAAAATTGTCTGTGCTGCGGCTTTTTTTTTCAATCCTAGTGTATAGCAATCAAGTCTTGTTGAACAATTTGGGCCATTATTATCCACAAGTGCCCAACCTTTTTGTAATTCCAAAAGCAGTAGTAGACAACGTGCTGAGTAATGGTGTTAAATAATGCCTGAACATCCAATAAAATGACCTTATTTCAAAGACTGCAATAGTAATTTGTAATAGAGGGGGAGAGAAATGTTTCAGTTTTTTCAAGTCAAGGTGAAACCTTCTCATGTAAAACAGGTGTGTACAGCTCCTTCCATCATGAAAATGATATAGAAATCTTTCAAAAACAGGCTCCACTTCATGCCAGAATGAGATTTCCACCTTGGTCAGGATGTTAAGATTTTCTCACACAATAAGGCGTTTGAGAAATATTTATTTGCATTCCAATAGTAGCTCGTGTAATCGATCCAAAGGGAAGATAATAGCTCTGACAACTTTATGACTTTTTTCTCTTTGTTGTGTAAAACAGTCCATCCCATTGTGATGCAAATGAGAGAACCCCATTTTAACCTCTGAAGGCATTTAATCTGGATGCTTTGAGGTTTTATTGTCCTGAGCTGAGCTTCTATTTCAGGCTAATTAGTGCAGTGCTTTTCAGACCTGGGTCAAAAAAATAAAAGCTCACTGTTGGCCTTATTCCTCATTCCATTATATCAGTGTGCAGTGCCTTTTGAATTTCATTGGAAAAATGATGGAAAATGGTTGCACTAGTGGAGAATCAGTCTATATTACTTAAAATGTGAACCTACATTTATTTTGGAGATAGCAGCAAAACAACAAACAAAATACTTGAAACCTTGTAAAGGTTCATTTTCAAATGGATCAGTCTGCTTGGGGAATCTTAAAGAACTGTATCTCTGTTTGCAGATCAAGTAGTCCATCGTGCACCTAGGAACTCCTGTCCTCATACAGTCCAAAGTCTATCTGCCAAGCACTGCTTTATGCCTACTGATTTGTCTGGTCTTGCTCAAATATGTCCCCCAGTGATGTTTCTGCCGTTGCGTTTTGGAAGAATATTATTCCACTTTCTGGAGAGTCTGGTAGAAAACCATTTTTTCTGATGCCAGTAAAAGTTTTCAAAAATGCCTAAGAGACTTAAGAGTCCAAGTCCCATTTTCAAAAGGATTTTAGGCCTCCTTTGTACTAGAAAAAAGTTGTCTTTGTCTTGCTGAATTTGCTCTATTTAAGCCTGTTAATTTGCAATCAGACTTCTCTTAAATATTTCCTTTGTGTCATCCTAAATAACATGTCTCATGTTTATACCTTATTCCTCTATTACTACTAGTGTTTACAGTACCTCATTCTGCTCCTGAGAATTAAGGCTCCAGCCCTGCTGAAGTGATCTATCCTTATGGACCATAGCATTCATGCAACAGCCCTGTCCACTTTGCAGTATTGTGACTTTAATTATCAGGCTCTTAAATGGCTATTCAAGATTGTTAGTGAAGATATTAAACAGAACTGAAACTAACACTTACCCTTCCAGCCAATTAGATACCTCAGCCTCTGATACATTGTCTCTCACCATTGTCATTTAAGTCGTTTTCTTCCACTAGTTGTCAAAGCATGTGATTGCTCATATACAGGCCAGTCTCAATGACCTGTGGACTGGATTAAAATCGACTCAGTAAGCAGTTAGACACTCCCATAGGAAAAGGGAGTCCTGTATGCAGGGCTTAATCTTATAATTCTTCCTTTTTTGCATGGGGGTGGTGTTATTAAACTATACTACTGACAGCTTTTCACAGTTTCATTGTTTTCTACTTAGGTACATAATTTTTAAAAGGAGAGGAAATTGGTTCATAATACCCAAATTATTCAGAGTGCCTCTGTGGCAGGGCGCTGTTGGTACCTGCCACTTTAAGGGCAGAGCCAAGCAGCCAGCAGGTGTTTGATTTTAGTGGCCATTTTTAGATCTCTGGCAGCCTATATAAACAAAGCAGTTTGCTGCTGGCAGTCAAGCAGTAACATCACCTGGCTGCAAGGCTGAATGCAACATCCTGGAGGTAAGGGCAGGAGCTGTAGGGGATGGTTTGGAGGCTTCTGGTTTTGGGCATGACTTAAAACTGCACCCTGCCGGGAGTGGGTGGCCTGGTGGGGCTCCCAGTGGCGCGGGAGCCTCCAGGAAATACCAGGCCAGTGACCACCCCAGTGAAAGGCGAGTCGGGGTGCCTTAATAACCCCATCTCCCACAACCAGGTGGGTTACACCTAGTAGGGCCGAGAAGGTGGACCCAGGAGAAACAGTGGGCTAGAGGCTCAGAGGCCTGACTCAAAACACCGTCAACTGGTCAGTGCTGAGGCCAGGACCAGAACGGTCAAAAGGGCCAGGGGGCCACTGCAAGGGATGCCCAGAGCTGAGGTCCTGGGGTTTCCGACTGGCCTTGGAGGTGAGGCCAGGGCCTGTGTGGCCAAAGGTCCTGGGGGGACCAGTCCCGAGAGAGGAAAGAGTTCAAGGAGTCAGGCAGCCCAAAATGAGGGCAAAGTCAGGCCACCTGATTGTAGGGATCTCGCTGGGGTCCAGATTGAAGGATTCTGGGGCCCGCTGTGGGGCCAGTGACGTTAAAAACTGTGGATGCCATCTGCAAGGCTTGGGCTGCCGTGTAGGGGAGGAGCAGAGCTGCAGATAGCGGCCTCTGGCATCAGGGCAAGAAACGGGCAGCTTCCCACTTAATTAAGATCCTAATTATAGATCATCAAGGCATGGCAGGTGGTTGGCCCAGAAACAGGTGAGCGGGCCATTGGTAGACTGGCCCTGAGGAAACCCCCTGTTACAGCCTCCTATGCGCAGATATTAAATACATAAAAATAACAGACAGGATGTATGTCTCAGGGTGTGGTGTGTAGCTACACATACAGTATGTATGCATGCATGCACACTGAGAGAATAAGTATTGTTACTCAATAATATGAAGCTGCATCGGACTGAACATTGTATGGATGGTTTCATGCAGAGCTCTGATACAGTACTCTAATTTCTCCTTAAGCACTATATTCCTGATGGCACAACACATGTTGATTAAACCTTCTCCATGTATAGATCATTATCTCCAGAACAGATATATGCCCAGATAGTTCCCACTGTAGGATACTCCAAATCCATACTAAAAGATGCTTTTTTCCCCATTACAGAACCTGGGAAGAAGGGAAGGTTCTTATCTTTGATGACTCTTTCGAACATGAAGTGTGGCAGGATGCAGAAGATTATCGGCTGATATTCATTGTGGACGTATGGCACCCTGAGTTAACACCACAACAGAGACGTACCCTTCCTGCCATTTAAGCAGTAATTTCTCATGCAAAAACCACATGAAGTTTAACCTTTTAGAGTATATACAGCATTAATTTGCCTGGTACTAAGGCCTTCTAATAGTTGAAAGATAAGAAGCAATTGCTTCACAATCATTATGGACTCAGCTTTAAAAAAAATTCCTATTTCTATTTCGTACTGATACAGCACTGATCTGATCTTTTTTGCTTTTAGGCTGCAGGTACAAAAATACTGATTCTTGTCAGCCAAAAAGCTTTAGTTCTAGATTTTCAAAATGAAGAAATGCAGGCACATGTTCGATGCCAAAATTGTGTGTACAGAAACTATTGCATGTTCATGTATATGCAGCCAGGCACCTCATTTGCCATGTTTATGCACAAGTATCTGGACTGTATATGTTTTTTTACCTGATAATTAGGTGCATAAATATGTGCATGCAACTAACCGTGAAAATCTATCGTACAGTTTTGAATAGTAGATGTTTAAGGTATAAAGCAACTAGACACATCTACATATAGTATCAACTGTAGATAATGTGAATCAATAGGTTTGTTTTGTATTTTTCTACACAAGTAATTGTATTTTTCTAGCATAACTACACACAGATCACTTGCTTTTATGAACCACTATTTTTTTCAAAAGAACATGTATAATAAGTGCATCTCCAGCTATCAGCAGATGGAGGAACTTTATTTGGATAGACCTTATTTTTGCTATGTATGACCTTCTTTTGCCTTCTGAAAATACTATTAGTAACTTACATTATTTAATTGTTAGTTAATAGAGTTTTAAGACAGATAATGAGATCAGTTTTGTTTTCCTGAAGTGAAATAGCCTCCTTTCAGTAGTAGGGTGCAGTCCTGGGGTGATAAGCATTTGTGACAGTCACCTGTTAGCTAAAATGAGAGTTGTCAGTGCTCAACAGCTTTCAGAGTCATATATGGATATTAACTGTTGTTCTCTGTCACGTGAAGTCCCTCTGCATCGTGACAACCTCTTCTGTCCAGGAAGAGCAGGTTTCAGCTCCTTCCAGGGATTCTTTGAGATTGACCTGACTGGCCTTTCTTCCAAATAAGAACCCAGATAGAATGGAAACAACATTCCCTGAAGTAGAAGCAGAAGACCACGCTGTAATATAGATCTCTGATCCTGCTCTGGAGGCACCAAATTCAGTGGGAATGAAAAGACCAAAAAAAGTGCAATTGTTTAAAAAATTTATTAACTTAATTTTCAATGTACTCTGTATTTGTTCTGTTTATTATGAGGTGAAAAGGCCTTATTTCCCAAATGAATCCTGTGAGGTGTCATGGTACAGAATTTACTGTTTTTCTTTGCACTGCCATACAGGGGAACACCTGCCATTAATATCTAGGAGTACTGAAAAGGTAAAGCGGAAGAGGGATGATCAAGATGAAGAATTTACTTCATGAATTTCATCAGGATATTCTGTCCAGTCATCTGCAAGTACCAGTAAGCTGTTGAAACTGATGCAAGGTGTTTAGAATAGCAAGGCAAGGGAGCACTAGGGATTATCATAAGGCAGTACAAGATGATGTGCAGAAACATAGGCAACTTATCCTCTTCCGTTCTTGGCTTGGAAAGTGTTGCTAATATGCTAAACTTATGAATGTGTTATGTTACTAAGGTGTCTTACATTACGGTATCTAAGAACCACATGTCTCTATTTCATATGCTATACAATAGCCTAAAATAGCAACATTGATAAAATAACTGTGTATTTCCATAAATTAAGAGCCTTCCAAACTTTCTGTTTTATTAAATAGTTAGATCTTGTCATGCCATAAAACATAATGAATAATGACTTGTGGCATGAATTGCATAACAATTTTTGGAGGTATGCACTATTTCCTTTTGCATTGGAAAAATCTGATTATCATGTTCTGATCAAGATTCAGTCCTGGATAGTTATGGTCCAAAAAAGCTTTGCTATGTTCTCTAAATGAGAGAAGACAAAAAGAAGACAGAACAGTATAACCCATATCTATAAGGTGTTCACAGTACTCAGGCCAATCATCAGTGGAATTTAATATAATTATGTTTGTTTCACATTTCGAAACTTAAAAATGCTTCTTTGAAAGGATTTGTTAGAATTATATATAAAAGCAGTTTAGATATGAGGTACTCATTCAATAGAAACCAGTCCATCTAACTACTGAATGCTATATTTCATAATATAGTAAAAGGATAAAAAAATGGTGAAAATAATTTATAAAGGAGGCATCCAGAAGTGTTTATCTCAGAAGCAAATATGTTTCCTTCAAAGAATATTTTTAATTGACTTTAAATTACATTGCAGTTTCCAGAGCTAAGAATTAATACCTATGTTCCAGTGAAGACATAACAATTTTCTTAATTTTAATTTGAGAAAGCCCTTGCCATCTTTTTCTTTTTTTTTGTTTGAGCTCAGAGTGTTCCATTACTGTTCATATAGTATTTCTCTTAATTTCCTCTGGAAGATGAAACCTTATCTTTTGAGATTATGATTAACAAATTGATTAAAGCCATCTATCCAAAACATGGACACACAGGGGTATTGCTGCTCATTAAATAGTATATGGAAGAATAGCATGCATCTAAAACCTAAAGTGCTCCTTCAACCCTGACTCCATTCCATGCTTTAGGGGCTTCTGTTTGATGGAGCTATTGGAATAGGTTCTTACATAAAAGGCATGTGCAGGAGCCAGTAAAAATTGCACTGTGAATAAATGCTGCACCATTTTCAGGCTTTCTGGACTGTAAACAGATACTTCAGCCTAATTCGGAGCCTTTATGAGCTGGAAAAGTCTACTGACCTGAAACAAATGAATAAATGAAAGAATCAAATAAAAATGCTTTTTTTGCAGTAACAGGTATCTTCCATAAGGCTAGGGACAGAAGTTACACATAAACCAGTATAAGTGATTGAAAACCATAGATTCATAGATATTAGGGTCAGAAGGGATCTCAGCAGATCGAGTCCAAACCCCTGCTCTGGGCAGGAAAGAGTACTGAGGTCAGATGACCCCAGCCAGGTACTTGTCCAGTCTCCTCTTGAAGACCCCCAAGGTAGGGGAGAGCACCACCTCCCCTAGGAGCCCATTCCAGATTCTGGCAACGCTTACCGTGAAGAAGTTTTTCCTGATATCTAACCTAAATCTGCTCTCTCAAACAGTTTGTTACAATTTAAACCTGTCACAGAACAGAAGTTCAGTGCATATAAATCTGTTTCAAAATGGCCAAACCTGGTTTAAAATAAACCTGGATCAATGTAGGATCAGACTTAACTGATTTAGGTTATCTGATTTGAGGAACTTCTGTACCAGATCCCTCCCCTCCCAACTCAAGTTGTCCCAGTCCCCCAGTGTCCCAGGATGCATTGGGGCCCTTCACTAGCCCCTCTTGCAAGGCAGGTGGGCTAACCTTGCTTGTGCTGTCTGCTCCTTGCCTGAGCTGGGGCCAAACCCACCCCACGGCTGTCATAGGGCTGAAGCAGCAATGCCTCTGCTCCCCATCCTGGTCCTGACTGCGCCTGTCAGCCCCGCAGGGTAGTGGGATAGAAAGCAGTGGGGTGGAAAGCAGGGGAACAGAGCCCCCAGCCCTGCCCCTGAGCCGTGGTCTGTGAGGGTTGCCTCCTTCTCCCAGGACAGGCTGACCGAAGTAACTGACCTGCTGTGGAAAGGAGGAAAGGAGTCCCTCCTCTCAGCTGGCCCCCAAATCTGGTGTCTGTTCACCTGAAGTAAACCCCAGGGGGTTTGCCCTGGTCTGCCCAGCTGCAGGAGTGATTCCTGCCCCCTCTGTAGCCAGGCTGCCGTGAGTCACTAATTCACAGTGGGGAGGGAGGAACAAAGCCCCCCATCTGCATCTCAGCACCCCCAGCTGGGGTCTTCCCAGCTGGGATGGGCTGGGCCCCACAGAGTTTCTCCTCCCTGTCCATGTGGGCCAGCTTGATAGAAAGAAGGCTCAGGCCTCACTGTCCAGCACAAGCTTTGTTTGGGTCTTGCTAGCTGCTGCTTGTGCTGGGCTCCATCAGGATGCACCAGGTAACCCGGGGGTGTTACACAGGGCAGCAGGAATGAGCAAACTCCATAGAAGGAAGGATTGGGCCCCATTGTGCAGTGGAAGGACCCTGGGCTGCTTGGCATATCCCGATGGAGCCCTGAACCAGCAGCAGACAGCAAAACATGCCAGAAGGGCCAGTGGCTTGTGCCGGGTGATGGGGCCCAATCCTTCTTTCTATGGAGCCAACCTGGCCAGGCAGGGAGGGGGTAAGAAACCCTCCTGAGGCCCAGCCACTCCAGCTGGGAAGGCCTCGGCTCGGGGCCTGAGACGTGGTGAGGGGGGCTTTGTTTCCCCCTCCCCCCTGCTCATCAGGGATTCACACTGGCTCAGATGTGTGGAGGCAATCGCCCCCAGCACAGCTCAAGGCATCACCAGCGTGGGGCTCCCCCAGTGTGGTAAGATGCTGGGCTGGGGGCCAGCCCCAGGAGGGGGGTGCCTTTCGCCCTCTCCCCTGTGCATCAAGGACTCACACCAGCCTTGCCCCGCAGGGTAGAATTACTCTCCCTGCACCCCCCACAGCTGGGCAGACCAGGGCTGGAGGTATCCCAAATGCCTGGCTCAGGGGGGGCAGGGGTGGGGACCCAGCACCAGGAGGGAGGCTCTTTCCTCCATGGGGGTAAGCTGGGAGGCACGCCCTAGCACCCCCTGCCTTCTGGTCTGGGTCTGTGCAGGCCTCTGTCTGCCTTTCGCAACTGAAAACTGAATGTCAGTTCAGTTTATCTGATAAATCTGTGCAGTTTAGAGAAACCTGTGAAGACTGAATCAGTTCTGCCTCTGGCTTTTTGACTGTCTGTACTTAGCCTAAGAGACAGAGTCTTGTCCTTCAGCTTTAGAGGGAGTGTGCCAGAGAAGGGCAGTGTTGTCTAATGTTTAAACCATAGTAGAAGTCCTGTTAGTAGAAGCTGGATTTTTTTCCTGTTTATAGCTATCATATATCCAGGCAAAGAGAATCCAGAGTGAACACCACATCCTGTGTATGAGCCAAATTACGTGTGATAGATCTTTAGGTAGTATAAATGCCATAACCCTGTTGAAGTCACTGGAGCTAAGCTGTGTTACGTTACTTAGAATTTAATGGGGGAGGGGGGCCTAAGGGGAGGATGGAAACCCCAAAATAGGAGAGCTCAATTATGCAATGTATATTAATGTATGGTATTTGTTCCTACACATTCCTACAGTATCACCTTGCAAAGAGTGCTCTATGCCTAGGAGGATCACTTGCTATCTTACAGAGCAAGCCCCAGTTGATGGCAGACTGCTGATGGAAAAAAACACATAAAGGAATTACATTAGTTCAGCAATTATTCTGTAATATAATTACAGATTTTGATAATATATCTGGTAGACATGTATTCTTGCCAGGTGTGTAATGTATTACGATGGCTAGCAGTGACCCATTCTTTTGTCATTCACTGTAGTCTGACTGTGCTCAATTATAAACTATATCATCACTTCAGTTTATCCATTCAGGGTGGCCTTTCTCAAGGACTACCAAAAACCATGTTATGCTTCACACTGTCATCTCATATTATGTATATTGTTTACACTACTATCTTTTACATGTGCACATGAACCACTTGTTTTAACAAATGTCAGCAAGGGGTGACTGATTGGAAGGTAAAAAGCACTATAAAAAATTGTAAAAAACACTCTCTAAGGAAATAAAGTCACTACACAAGTGTTAAGTGTTTTTGTTTTTCTTTTTATTGTAACTATTTCCATTTGAATGCAGCGATGAGATTCCTTTTGCAAGTAGAGCAAATAGAGAAATAACAAACTGATCTTTGGCATTTCAGTTTTCCATTTTAACCACAGCCCACATCTGTAGTCAGCACACCCCCTCTGGCTGCATCCTTAACTGATTGCAGGAGGAAAGAGGGTTAAATCGCTCTTCAGAGCTTTCATTTGCTGTAGTGACCTAAATGAAACAATCTGGATTGAACCATTAATCACCGGTGACTGTTTCCAATGAGTTACCTCCCCATGCGCACGCAGCTAACAGGCTGTAGTGTTGCCTGTGGAAAAACACATCGTTAAAATTAAATAATTGCCTTTCAAATTGTGTGTGTCTGCTGCCCACATAGCTCATTACATATAGCTGACAGTTTTATAAGGGCTTCAAAAGTTAAGAATAATTTTTGGAGGGTACTGAAATAAGTGAACCCTGCAAGCAGCCAGGATGATGAGATGTCGTAGTGTAGTGTTGAATGACATTACGCTGGTGATGATTTGTTTAAGGAAAAAAACCTCAGTCAAATTTTAGGATATTAGAGATGCAGTTACCTCAGGATGACAAACTACATTAAACCTGATAGTTTTGCTGCACAGTTTTAACTTCAAGATACTTTGCTTTAAAATGCACTTAATCTAAACTTTGTTTTACTAAAACTGAAGACCATCTTGGCATAATGATTCAGAGGAACCTCCACTGGCACATCCTTTTCTGTTCGAACAAAGAATTTAGTCCCTCACTTTTCAGTCTTTTTTTTTTATGCCATAAATCAAAGGAAAGATAAAAAAGAAAAGAAGAACTCTGTGTTTACAATCAGACTCCTTGTTTTCTCTTAGTTAGCGTCCTGTGCCAAAAGAAAATGTTCAGTCTTTGTTCAGCTTTGGCCGCTCAGGCAGATGGCTGGTGACAATCTTTACTTGGTCTGAAAAAATGGAGGACCTGTTTTCAAGCAGAACGTGTGTGTGTGTGTGTGTGTGTGTACACGTGCCTGTGTGCACGCACATGTGTGTAAAGCATATTGTGTGCTTTGTAGGTTTCTGGTACCGCTGAAGTCTGGCAACGTTTGTGTTAGTGATTAGGTCTCAATCCAGAGCCAATAGCGGTTGAGTGTTTTCATTTTCACCTTGATCCTCGTGTTTCAATGTGCCAGCTTCCACCACCGACTGAGACCTAAAAACAAAATTGCACAAATAATAGGTTAGAGATATTAATATAATTCCCTTGTTTTATCATAATCCTGTCATGTCTACATTTTTATTATGTTCAAAACAATGCATAGGTATTTGTTTTTTTTTAACTAAAATTCATTTCAAATAAAAAAATTGGAAATCATATATGTTATAGAAATACAACTGGTTTCTTAAAAGATTTAAATTGTTCCATATTTTAAATATTTAACACTTACATAAACATGCTGTATATCCAAGCTAAAGACCTTCACCTGAGGTAAGGATGTAAATGTTTCGTGTCTTTTTGGACAAGGCCATAAGACCTGGACTCTATAACACTACATGGACCTATTCATGTTAGGTAAGTTACTGGTGTGCATGGATGCAAGCAAGTCTGAGACTGAACTCATTTTCACAAAGCACCTTGAGTTTGGTAAGTAAGATAATCCTGGTAGAGGACTGTAGGAGGGAGCTGCTGTGTCTTGTCCAAGGCCACACAGGGAATCAGAAACAAAATAAGAATTCTGCAGTTCCTGACTCCCAGTTTGTGCCAGTTTAGATCAGAAGGCTAGCTCATGTTCCATGCCCAATAAATCCTTGATCTCACCAGTAATAGGAACAGTAAGGTACCAGCTAAACTAGCACACTTTCTGATGTGCGTTCACCTTATTAGGGATATAGGTAGTAGGCATGTTGTTCTGAGACAAAAAGAAATGCAAAAATCTAGAACTCTTGGTTCCAAAATGATTAGACCAATTGAGAAATTGCAAAATAATAATAATAATAAATCTTTTTCTGCAAGCTTTTGGGCTCATACGTACACTTCATCAGGCTCAGAGGAAGTTCAAGATGGTAAAAAGTCCCCATATGGAAGAAATCCTGCTTCATCTACACAACAAAGAGCAAGCTCACAAAGAAACTCCTGTGGACCCAGAGTGACAGTTTTTTAGCTTCTGCTTCCTCTGTGCAAAAATAAAGTTTATTTCCTACATATGGGGACTTCTTACCATCATGAACCTTCCCTGAGCCTGATGAAGGGCATATGAGCCTAAAAGCCTGCAGAAAAAGATTTTTTTTTGGTTGCAGTTTCTCAGTTGGTCTAATAAAAGGTATAATTTGGAACCAAGAGTTCTAGATTTCTGCATCATAAATCCAAGGTATTTGCATGGTAATCAGTAATGTGATCCTTAATAACGTTACCCAGGATTATCACCAGTTCATTACACTGCACTTCATATTTCTAGGGCCTGGTCTTGTAGTTGCGATAACTTGTTTGAACACTAGCTGTCTCACAGGACAAAATACCATTTGTTCATTCATTAGAATAGTTCCTTCAGTCTATAATAGAGTACTACCAACAGGAGATGACTCTTGATCAGGGTTGAATACCGTGACTGTGAATACATTACTCAGTTCCTCAGGTTTCTAACTCTCTATCTCTAAGTTCTAAACTTGCACAAAAAACAAATACAAGGAACAAAAATAACAAACCCCAGTTACATTCCAGATTTACTAATTTATAGAAACCAGATCCTTACTGTAAAGCTATTTGTTAAGTTTTGCAAAAGAAATATATTTCCACTGTACACAATTCACCTTAATTTGATGTAGGACATCTATATCAGATCACCTTATTATAGAAATGGCCAAACATTTGAATAAGAATACACATAACCTTCCATTTTCTTTCTATATACAGGCAGTCCTCAACTTACAGCATTTTGAGTTACAATGTTTATAGATTGAAACCCTGTTTCAACTTTCTGATGTCAGTTTGGACTTTACAATGCTTGATCTGATGTCATGCCATGCCAACAAACAAGTTTGCTGCGTCATCCATCTCCCTAGAGAACATCTGTCCATACTTCTCTGGACACTTTCTTTAAGAAAACAGACAAGACTCCAGAAAAACCTGCAGCCAAGACTCCTGAGAAGACTCCAGCCAAGAACCCTTCAAAAAGTCCAACCAAGTCACCCCAAATAAGTCCTTCCAAATCAATATGATTGCTATTTACAATATAAATAGATTGATGTAGCTATATTACTCATCTATGATTGATTGAGTACAAAATTCTGGGTTATTTTTGGTGAAAACAGGGTATCGGGCTTTGGTTCAGGAACGAATCCCCCATTTATAACATTGTTTCCTACGGGAAAATTGGTTCCAAGTTACAACGTTTTGACTTACAACGCGGTTTTCAGGAACCAGCTGTGTCATAAGTCTGAGGACTGCTTGTGTTTTTACAAATATTCCAATCCCCCTACTATAATATACTTTAACTGAAGGAAGAGAAACTAAGGGAAAAGATAGTCTCTCCATCAGTGCCTTCCTCTGAAGAGTGAGGTTTATGCCTTTAGTGGTTGCAATTAAAAATAAGTAAATTTTGTCGACATATCACAGGTAGATCCTGTTCTAAGTATAATTTTTAAAAATGTCAGTTACTAACAGCTGGCTACCACTGGGCATCTCTGTTCATATCTCATTCTTCCTCCCTATTTGAATACTAATTCTGCAGCAGTTATAGGCCTAAGCATCCCTTTGCATCTTTCCCAATCTCATCATCTTGCCTTCTTTCACATGGGCCTGCTCTCTTCGTCACATAAGCAAAGGCACTTTGGATACAGATTGCTCATTCTTGCCTTGGATGATGAAACAAATGCATGAAAAGCTCAGGTAACTGGTATAAGTACAGGGAAAATTATAACAGGACAGTAATAATTGAATCCCTCAATCTACTGGAAGGTCAGATCAATCCTCAAGACAGTGCTAGTACTCCAGCTACATTCTGGAAGGAGAGTTGTAACTCATACTCATCCATATTAGGGCTGTGCAAAACAGCACCATTTTGTTTCAACTTCCATTTCACCATTTCAAAGGGACAGTGTTTCATTTTGTTTCATTTCAAAGCACTGTTCTGTTTCACTTCATCAAAACTATTTCGACGTGTGTTGACGTTTCGCCCATAGGCTATAATGGGGAATCATGAAAACGCCTAAAACTTTGTAATTTCTTGCCTGATTCAGCTGAAAATTGCAGGGATGGTGGTCCCTTCTGAAGGCATGAAGCCTGCAAACTTTCAAGGAGATAAGTAAAGAGGTTTCTGGGAAACTGCACCTCAAACTGTTCAAAGCAAAACTCGTGACACTTGCCGGCAGTGGCAGTCTCCTCTCATCCCACACGCAGATCTGGGGGCCTGCACCCCCAGGAGGGCTGTAGGGCTATGCCAGACTCCTACCAGGGGTGTGGACCTCCGGATCTGTGTGCCAGATGAGAGGAGGCTGCTGCTGCCGCCTGGGACTGATGCGAGGTACAGCCTGCACCCAGCGCTGGGGAAGATTGCTGCTGCTGCTGGTTCCTGGCGGCAGTGGCAGCCTTGTGTCATACAGCGTGCAGATCCAGGGGCCCGCACCCCCAGAAGGAGTCCGGCACAGCACCGCAGCCCTCCTGGGGGTGTGGGCCCCCAGATCTGTGCACCAGATAACAGGAGGCTGCCGCCTGGAACTGGCATTAAAGCTAAGTAAGCCTGGCTTCAAAACTTGAAACATTTTGAAACTCAAAATTTTTCGAGTGCCCTCATTTCATTTCAAAGTTGTCTCAAAGCCTTTTGCTTCATTTCAATTTTGCTGTTTTGAGCTCAAAATGTATTGGAACAGCTTTGAAACAAAACACCTGGCAAAATTTAGCACAGTCCTAATGCATATATAATCTTGCACTCATTAGCTAGTCCTTCACCCCTTCCCTGCCCACCTTCAGACAGAATTAAAATAGTCTGAATGTGTATAGACAGGCTACTAGTCATAATATGCAAATACACAAAATACATTGCAGTGCACATAATTGCCAAATACCAGGCCACTGTCTTGAAACAATTACAATGCCCAGCCTATCTGAACAATATAAAAAGGAATTGAACCTCAGTATGATCTGTGTCCAAAGCTCTGACAGCAATTATCTCTCCATTTTTCCCTTTTGTGTTCATTAGAATCAGCTTGGCATCTCTCCTAAAATAAACATTTCAGCCCTTTCTCCTGGGCTATCTAATACTTGAATCCAGTTTAGTCCAAAAGGCAGGGTACTGATTTAAACAATCAGTGTGGCTCTCCTGATCTCGATACAACAATAAGCAATCACAACAAAAAAAACCTGCCCTAAGCAATCACAACAAAAAAAACCTGCCCTCATGTCCAGATTTTCCCTTTCCAAACACCGACTTCTGTTTGCAGGTGTTTGGGCATTGCTTTTTTTTGTCTTCATTTTTATTTTTGTTTAAAAGAGGAAAGAGTTAGAAAAGAAACAATGAAATAGCTGTTGATTGTGAATTCTCAGTGAAATTCAGAAGTATTTCTCATGGATATGGGTTCTGGTAAGTATCTGTGGTCTCTATTTTCCTAGGAAATGAATGTTGTTATTTTATACCATATGAGGTTCATAATGTACGAACTTTGGCACTGGTGCCAGGAAAAAGCTGTTTGCCCTTTTGGTTATATAATATTAATTGGTGGAATTTATTGGTGTTTTAAATATACTTTAAATATATTCTGTACTATACTTTAAATATATTCTGTTACTGCCTCATTACAGTGAGTTGCCATCATCTACTATAAGCTGCCTGGGTATAAGTTTCTTCTGCCTGTCACATATGATAATACTCTGTGGCTGTGAAAGCCAGTTCAACTAAAATGAAAGCCTACTTGAAAAGTGTGAAACTTGCTTTCTTGGCTCTGCTGCAAAGTTGTTTTCATATAACTAATGAGTGCACACAATCCCTGATGTTCCAGATGTACACAAATTGATTGAAAGTTTAAGGATTTTGTATGCCAAATCTAATATTAAATCCAGGCCTCTAAGGTAATTTTGGTTCTTAAAAGTGTTGACAAATGGGAAAGTGAATTAGTATGTTCCTCACGGCTGGTCTAGACCAAAACCTACATTGCAACTGGATCATAATAGCCTCTGAATTAAGTGGGATACAAATTCTCAAAGGTCTTTTGGCATCTAAA